GGCACCTTACCCTACCCCACTAGCTGTGAGCTGAGATGTCCACCTGGTTATCATGTCAATTATCTTCCAACATCAATTTTGTCTGACTCAAGATCCTGCTTGTTGAATGGGACCTGGACGTACAGGGCAATTACCCCGACATGCTTAGGTATATTTTCGCACTCTTCAAAGAAAACTTGATAAGGCCTTGGGACTCAAAAGAGCTACGTCAGTTTCGCTCTGACGGAGGGCTAACGTTCGAAACGTCAGCTTTGAAATCCTTTACAATGGCTAATTTACGCTATAAACTCAGCTGATAAAATCTAAACTACCTTTTAACCCTTTAAACCTTGCATTAGTGCTCGTATTCTTCACGCCGGAAGAATTTGTGCGAAAATCATGAGCTCCTCATATTGGTGATCAATTCCTTTATTCTCATCTCCTCGGTTTACATATAGTGGAAGGGTGATTCTGTGATGAGAAATTAAAAGCCAGTCACAATGATTAGGGACTGAAGGGGTTATCTTCATGATCCATGTCCATCGTCTTTCCTCGATTGTTCATTCTTCTTAAATCTTTAATCTGCCGGCTGCGATGATCTACGCGTCTAAATTGGTGCAAAAAAAATAAAAAATCCATGTAGTGGTTCCTTGAAGTTAACTTGTAAAATCGACGTTCTTCCTTCTTTCTCAGATTTTCAACCTCCTTCATTTGGCAACAGCTGCCCGCTAGTTTTGGACTTTGACAACGACCCAGGAAAAAGCGTAGCCACAGTAACCTGGAACGTAAGTTGGACCGACAATTCTTTAATAGCGGACGAGTCAGGAATAACCGTGGACATGTTCACTGTGGTCTTGACGATTAACGACAAGAACGTAGACACAACTCTCCCTAAGTTGATCGGTATCGGTACAAACAGTGTGAAGTATGTAGTCACAGATCCCGCAGGAAACTCCGGTTCGTGCTCCTTTACCGTTACTGTTGCAGGTAAGTGGCAACGTTTTCAAGACTTGTAAGAGTATACATAGAGAATGAAAAGGGCTGTTTACGTGACGCGATAAATTGCATATAAAAAACGAAATGTACCATTGACAGCCAGATATGGCACAAATTTATTTAATTATACATAATGACCAAATCTGTGTATGCTGCACTTGCGGTCCAGGGTTGCGTTGAACATCTATAGCCACAGCAAGGTGTGGCTTGACATGGAGAAACCACTAGACATCGATCAATGGGACCATGTTTTTTCCATATACAAGTCGGACGGAACGGATAAAGGCAATTTATTCTTAATTGTGTGGAGTAACCTTTCTAACGATCACTCAGCTCAACATGGACGAACAAAGAAAGAAAATTACCAGAAAGTAGCTACGTGTGAGATGTACGTGGTGTTTCCCGCCATTTTAGTCAATTTCTGGGACGTTTTGCTTATGGGGATAGGTTACTCAGGTGTTTTCGAAATGGCTGTCTCCATTGTCGTACTTTTAGTACAACTTAAGCTTTTCAATAGTGGAAGTAGATATTCCACCGTTTCTTCGGAGTGGAACTTCTTTCTCCTTTAATCCTAAACTGCATGTCGTAATCCCGAACTGGGACCCAGGTTACCCAATTACGATTGCACCGTTCTGGTTTTTATAGATACTGAGGCACCAACGTGTGGTTTCTGCCCGCCCGACATCAACGTAGACAACGCTACCGAAATCGAAATCAGGGTTAATTGGGACAGGCCCAATTGTACGGATAACTCTGGCAATCCGCCGAACATCTATTCTAACAGACAATCTGGTGATCTTTTTGCTGTGCCAAGTACCAGCGAAGTTATTTACACCGTAGACGATGGCACGAACGTGAACAAAAACTGCTCATTCAGAATAACCCTCAAGAGTAAGTATCAAGCAAATAAGTTAAATGAATTACAGTGTCTCCATCACAAACTCTTTAGGGTACAAAGGGTACCTAAATGATTATTTTTATCGTTACTGGAGAACCTATGCGAGTCCGAGGAAGTTGCTTTCTATTAAAATCTAAAGCCTCCACGTTTACCTGTGCAGGCTGCACCTATAGATCTAGTACGGTTCCATTGCTCCCCTACCTCCACGACCTTTGTTGTCGTGTCTGACAAATAGTCTCTGAGGGCCACTTAAAATATCGTAGTGGGGTCTTTCAAAGTCATCCTTTTTCGATCCCGTCGTTCTTTCCTTATAAAAAAATCCATACAGCATGACCGTGAGCAAACTGGGCACTATTCACCTTGCTTGTAGACCATTTACCAAACTGATATTAATAATGATAAAACATCCCAGGAATAAGAAATTTTATACCAGCACTCCGAGGAACACCCTTTAGTTGAGGTCCTACATTGATTAATCAATTGTTTATCCCAGAAAATCATTACTGTGAACTGATAAACATATTTAGTGGGACACGCGTGGCCTTAGTATTAACTGGGGCTGCGCGGCCGAAGACCTGACCATGACTTTTGGAAGGTATACAGTTTATTTGTGGCCCAAGTAGCATTATTTGTGTGAATGATGCTACGAGGGACACAAATAAACTATATGCCCGAGAAAAGACACATGATTATCATAATTATCAATACAAAAAGTCAAATCGTACAAATTCATTTCATAAGGAAACATATTTGGTCGCTATCATCGCTCTCTATTATTCGGCGGTGTTTGCGGGTTGATGACAACGGTTCTTCATACTTTCCGTGATAAACGCCCATTGTTCCAATCTGAATATGTTGGGTGCAATTTTGGTACGGCTGTGCCAAGGAAATAAAATGGTTTTGGAGAAGAGACTGTGGGTTCAAGTTTGACCGGGCGGCAAATGCCGTTTACGGCTCGCACTTCGCCGTTTGGCCCGTGAAAAGGAGCGTTTTAGAGAGGGCAGTTTGTCATTTTGGCCAAGTGTATTGGTAATAATAGGTATCTGTGAACTGTTAGAAAATCATGAAGCAAAGCTGGGGGAGGGGGAAAAAGGGTAATCTGCCACAAATGAGCATTTCACTCAGGGGGAATGAAAATGCTCTTGCACGCTTACTGCATCGGAAATGGAGATAAGCTTCGGCGGCGTGGGCCAGTTGCACGAGTGCTGAGTGTATCACTGATGCACATGTTTCGCGTTTTTCTGTTAAACTAGACTCATTTTCATAACATACTTTATCTTTAAGAGAAGACCTGCCCTTTGTATGCGCCTCCGAAGAATGGTGCTTTGAGCTGTACCGTATTTGGATCGGATCGTTCGTGTAGCGTGCAGTGTCAAAATGGATTTGATTTTGTTTTCAACCCGCCTCTCCTTTACTACTGTTCAGCTGGAGAATGGAAATTTTTTGGTTCTCAAAGTTATACACAAGATCTGCCCTGGCCCGATTGTGCAGGTAATCAAGTTGACACAACAGTGATATCGGTTAAGAAGGCGGCGAAGCCGAGCGATCAGGGCGCTGGATTTGTAATCTGTTGGTTCCGGAATCAAGTCCTTCGCCCTGCTACTCACTGGATTTGTTCTTAGTTGCCCTGAGTTGAAATCCTCAGCTGCGCTGTGTAAATAGCCAACTGGTCTGCCTCCTGCCAGTTGGAATGTTCAAGCACTTTCTGTTTATTTGAAATATTTGTCCCTCTTTTTTTCATATTTTAAAGCGCTTGCGGGCTTGCAATTAGCGATATATAAGTTGTAATTTTCATTTAATTCTAATGTACAGTAGAACCCGGCCAATTCCAAATTTTAAAGTAGAATAGAGAAGTTTCGAAATATCAAAGAGTGTAGGTCGCTCATGGTAAACATAAACCAAAATGATTTGCTCTAGAGAAATGGATTTCGGTTTTGGTAGAGGAGACAAATCCATCAATAATGAATTGAAGTCGAAATAAAATGATAGCAGACTTCAGTTGTTTTCGTTAGAATACTTTTGGACTTTCGGATTCCACCGCTTATATAATAGAGAATTTTCATTGTCTGTTATAATCCTTATTTATTTGATGAATGGTAGAAACAGTGTGATTGAAGTTAGCCTCTTTCAATGTTGTATTCCAGTCATATTTATGTTTTTTTCATGATCAATCACTGTGGAGATATAAATGTCCTTTGAAATAAATCATTAGCTTTGTATTGACAAATATGTTTCTTTATTTTTTCAGTGACTGCGAATCCTTCTTTTGTAAAACTGATTGGTGCCCCCGGGTTCTTTTACAATGGAGACTGCAATGACCCCAATGTGCAAGATGAGATAAAAACAGATTTCCTTACACTTCTAAATTCCCAATTTATTCCCCCATTCTTCTGCAAAGATAAACCTGATTGTAAATCTGATAACATTGAAGTCCAATGTGGCGAAAAAACAGCTGCGCAGAGAAGGCGGAGACGAAACTCGGAAAAGGTGGTAAGTATCTGAGAGTTGAACGGAGGAATGCCTCGCCCGACCTCCTCAATCGTTTAACCACAAACTTTTAGGGAAACTTGTGGGAGGCGCGGTGGCCTCATGGTTGGTGCGCTCGACTCCGGATCAAGGGGTCCGGGTTTGAGCCCCGGCCGAGGACACTGTGTTGTGTTCCTGGGCAAGTCACTTTACTCTCACAGTGCCTCTCTTCACCCAGGTGTTTAAATGGGTACCGGTAAATTTAATGCTGGGGTAACCCTGCGATGGACTGGCATCCCATCCAGGAAGAGGGGGGGTGGGGGTAGAATTACTCCTAGCCGCTTCATGCTACGGAAACCGTAGTTAAGCGCCGGCCCGATGGGCCACATGGCTTGTAAGTAGGCTTTTTTTACCTTTAAGGAAACTTGCCCCATGTCTTTTCAAGAAAATAGAGACGGATTTAGCACAGCGTTG